CAGCCCAGCTTCCTGATTGCTGTGACAATATTGGCTGTGGTAGGAGACACATAATCTTACATTTCAAACACGATCAGCACCGACACACTCTTTTGTCACTACCATTTTTTCCCCCTTCAGGTGGATTTACACAGCCAACAGGAAAAATCGCTGTCAGAGCTGGATCCACTTCGAAAATAGCTGCACCAGGTGGCAGCAAAATGACAATTCCTCAGGGTCTCAGCACTGACAAGTCACCATGGAGCAGCACTCCTCCGAAAGACTTGTTTCTCCAAGGAACCCTTGCCAGGGTAGGCAAGAAGACGAAGACTCAAATTCTGCTCTTTTTCCCCCTCCCTCTATAATACACCGTGACTTATTCATACAGACATTTGCCCGGATTTGCCAGCACAGAATATGACACCGCTTTATCCATTCTCATTTCTCATCAAACACTGTTTTTTCTCTGAGCAAACACCACTTCTCCACTGATCTCCTCGGCAGTGTCTTCATTACCCAGAAGTATTTAAAAATTTCAGGAGCAGCTTCCAGGCAGTAATAATAAATCTTTTGACACTGTGTCCATTAGGAACAACCTCTGGGGAGATTAGTGAGTTTTACCTATTATGAAACAGGGCATCAGACAGCCAGCTAGCACTCCAAGCCATCTCAAGCATGACCTTCAAAAACAAGTCCCTTCAGCAGTGCTACCTCTTGATCCATTTTCCCCATCGTGGGGAAAAGAAACGAGCACAAATCCAAGCAAAACCACTTTACAGGTGACAGAATGACTTTAAATACATTCTATTTTCTATGCTCTAGGAGTAGATTCCCTACAGCCATACGGCTCAGTACTGCACAACATCTCCTGTAGAAAGTCACACGTTCAAAGCAAGTAGCAAAACCAGAGTTTCTTTTAAGCCAAAATATTTTGACTCTGACAGTATTACATTTTTAGGTACAAGATAAACATTCTGTATTTTAATCCACCTTCACGGCAGTGTTGTTTTGCGGTGCTTTATCAGGCATTACGGCTGGGTCACGGAGCGCCAGGGCAGGCTCTGCATCCGAAGCGAGCCCCGAGCGGGCCCCGCTCAGCCCGGTGTCATCTGCCGCCCCCGCCCTCGGTGACAGCACCGGAGCCTGGCGCCAGAACCGAGCTGCAAGAAGAGCACGAAACCGCTTTCAACAGCTTGGGAAGAGAACTGGATTCAGGGCTGGCTCTCTTTAAGACGGTGAGTAATAATTTGCCAGAAATTTCCTCAAAGGACAACGCTATAATCATGTTTTCTCAATAACTCGCAGATATGTCTAGCATGTAATTTTGTGCTCGGCCAGACTAAACTTCTTCTGTGCACAAACCAAGTCTTTCTATCCAAAATGTATTAAAAATAAAGAAAAAAAAAAGGGGGGGGAGGGAAGGGAAAAACCCACAAGGGGAAAAAAACAACAACCGAACCACACAAGCTCTTATTTCGCATAGTTAAAACTAACCACGAGTATTTAATAATCAACCCCAATAGCACTGAGCATTTTGGGAAGTCGGATTAAAGGGTTACTCAAGTAACTTTCACTACAAATTTTTGCAGGATGACTAATGAGTCGCGAGCTGCAGTTCAGCCACAATCCCTGCGACTAACCTGAAGTCCCCTCCTGACGCGGCACAGGATGTGTCAGGAAGTTTGGGAGGGCTGAAAAGCATCATCTCTTGAAGGAGCACATATATTCCAGCAAAAACAACATTTTCTCCCTTTTCAGCTCCACCGCAGCCCACACTTGAGTGCCACCGCCTCAGCACTACACAGTCTACAATCGCGAGGCGGATGTTAATAATTAAGCCGGTGAGTGGGAGCGGGCTAATGAGGTGAGCCCATGAGCAGTGCGAGTGTCCCCGCTCCGCCGCCCTCTGTCCCTCCCCTCCAGCCAAGGAGCGGACTGCAGCAGCTCCCGGCACTGCCGCAGCCCCACGGCTTTCTCTGGAAAAACCTCGCGGCTTCGGCACCACCAACGCCACCTCCCCACGGTTAAACGTATAAAATAAAAATTAAAAAAATAAAAAAATAAAAATGAAAAGCGAGGACAAACACACGGCGGGCTGAGCTGGCCCGAGTTTCATCCCTGCCCAGCGGACTGTGCTTCTCCCCTCCGCTCTGGCTGCAACATGTGCCAGCACTGCCGGGGCAGGGACACCGCACCCTGGTGCTGGGACCCTGCCCTGCCGCCGCCTGCCACCTCCCAGCCCGGGAAAAGGGGGAAAAAAAAATTCTAGCCCTAAAAAAACCCCAAATTTATGTCTCCTGCCGCTCGCCCCCCGCACCGCCAGCTCGCAGCGGTCACTACGCAAATAAGCGAGAGGCGACGGGGAAGGAAAACCTCGCGACCTGGAAAAACCACGCGAGGTAAAAAATAAGTTTAAAAAGGGGGCTTTCCCCCC